CTACTACAATATGGCTTCATTTTAGATCTTACTAATTGGGGATCTATCATTCATCCATTTTTCTTCCAATAATCTTTGAAAATATTTTGTTTGCGTTTCCATTGCCTCCGCATTTGTTCATCTACATACTTCATCAGAACTTTATCTTCGTGTGGTAATTCAAATTTTTCCTACATTTAATATATAAATTAAAATTGAACGTTCTTAATAAACTTTTAATAATAAATTACTTCCATTTATGAAGTTTAAATTTTGACAAAAATAAATAAATTGAGGAAAATGATATATAACTTACACGTAATCTGTTAATCATTTCTTCTTTATTTTCTTTTGATACTTTCTCCCATGTGTGGAATTCCATTTGACAAAAGCTCTGCATTACAATTCCAACCTCCGTTGCAAAAGATATTGTCGAATCCCCAATGAATTTCTTTGTATAGTTAATGCTTATTGTGAGAGTTATTATAACCATGCTTACAACTAATGGTCTACACGACGTTCTTCAGGCGTTGGAATGTTATGACATTTGTCACCCGAGAACAACTGTAGCTAACAGTCACAGCGCGGGATTGTCAGTCCCGTATAGATCTATACACAAATTCACGCTCTCCCTCCAGGAGACTCTGGTTATAAAGTTGTAACGGGTACCTTAGTTGGTACAATGAAGTAAGTGGCTCATAATCCTGTATTAACTAGTTTATTTATAGTGAAATGAATAACATTTTTTCTTATAACTGAAAACGTAACTTTTCCGTAGAAATGTTTATGATGATAAATATTGTAAAACGACCCAAAACTATACCTATTATAGTTTAAAAATGTATGTTCTATTGAAATGAAAAACCTTAGTATTTTAACAACTTTAAGAGTTATAAGTTTGGTGGTAACGTTATTTAACATTTTTATGTAAAGTGTTTATAAAGTATAACAACAGTTAGCAATCGTCGGCTCGGGAAGTCTCACGTATTCAACAAAACGAGAGAGGAATTAAAGTTTGGTGTAACAAAACAAAGAGGTCGAGCTTGCTATTTATAGGCTGATTTTTGGTCTCTCACGTCGTAGGCTTAATGTCCATGTCGTGAAACTGAGCTAGATCCCCTCGTAGACTTGCCATCTGCGTTCTAGCTTCGAAAGGTGTCCGGATGATATTTCCACATCATGAATCTGATGTCCACGTCGTGGGATGTTAACACATCACTCTCGTAGACTTAGCATGTGTGATAGAATTTATCATAACTTCTTCATGCGAAGTCAGATTTAGACGTTCTTTATATTTTTGGAATCATATAGACTTGTAGTATTGAATGAAAACTTCATTTAAAGAATAAAGTAAATTGATTATAATATGTGTTTGTTATATTTATAGGACTATATTTGACCTAATTTTGACTGGTGTTACATGGTATTTTGAGTAGTTGGAGAAGAAGGTCTTGCATCAAGAAGGTGGAGAAGGAAGACAAGCATGTAGATCTGAGGTTTCCCTGTGCTCTAGAAGCTCCAACCTTTATGCTTGTATAATGTAGATCTTGCCATGCTAGCTTTATGAAACCATTTCTTGTCGCAAGAAGTCCCAAGTTGATGCATGTTATGTTTTGAACGAAATAAGTTATCCTTTCAGACCCTAGAAAGGGTCCTAGGTGATAAAAATGATGTCCCAATAGCTGAATGTGTCCCATGCATGGAGTAGGAAGGTCTTAATATCTTAAGACCATGTATTAAGAACTTTCTGGTCGTCCAAAGTCTTAAAGTTCAAGACTTTATGGTTCTAAGGCACGTTTGGTCGATGAATCTGAAGTTTAGGCTTAAGTGTTTAAGCCATTAAGAACTTGTTAGAGTTTTTGGAAAACTCACGTAGGCCCCGTGTAAGGCTTCGTACGCCCAGCGTATTGCGTCAACCACGCTGATGGTGGTCAACATAAGGCAAAGGACGCTCAGTGTACCAGAAGAGTACACCCCGTGTATGCCCTCTGTCGGGCTTTTGACAATTTAGGTTTTGGGATTGGGACACTTTTGGGAGAGACTGACTTGGGCCTTGCTAGACTTCTGAAAAATAGTGTTTTGGGCCAACATGGAAATGGACACTAGGGTGAGGCCCAATTATAGGGATTTGGGCCTAGTTTGGGAATTAGGCCAATAATGGGCTTTGTATATGTGGACTTTTTGGATCATGGATTTGGTATTGGGCTTTGTCCCAAATTAGAGAAAGGTCAAAACTAGACTTTTATCCTATGTGGGACCCTTGATCGAGATTTATATCCCAATTGTTGACTAAGTATTCGTTATTTTGGATAGTTCGGGATTTTTGGTGAGACAGCGGTCAGAGACTTTCAGTCTAGTTAAGTACTATTTGCGAGGTGAGTTCTCCTCACTATATCAACAGGGTCTAAGGCACCAAGGTCGGCCCTTTATGGATTTGTATCATGGTTTATTGCATGATGATATGCTTATTGATCTGTTAGATTTGCATCCTGGATGGTGCTATGTTTATTGATCTGTTCGATCTGTCTCCTAGTAAATAAGATGATGATATGATTAGTGATCTGTTAGATCCATATAACTTTCTGTGCATGTTAGCTAGCGTTTGATATATATATATATATATATATATATATATATATATATATATATATATATCTGTGTGTGTGTGTGAATTGTATGTTTGGGGTTGGGTTGAGGCGGACCTGTTGTGTGCTGAAGGCCAACAGACCCAGGGCGGTCCGGATAGACTGCAGACCCATAAGGGCGTATCAATCAGGTCGAAGCCTCGAAGAACGGTCAAGACTGGTTGAAGGCCTGGGTGGGCGGACCATATATGTTGAAGGTTCTGAGAGTGGGCCAGTTAGACTGCAGGCCCGGTAGGGGTAATTTAGTCTTACGGTAGACTCTATATACATGTTGTTTCTTTTGATATGATATTGTTCTGGTTCGTATAGTGTTAGTATTTTGGGGGTAACTCACTAAGCCTTCGAGCTTACATTTAACGATTATTGTTTCAGGCACCTCAGATGACCGTAGGAAGGCCGCGGCGTGACCGTACACTTCCTCAATTTGTGATTTTTGATTTCTGGGAAAACTCTAATATGGATTTATTTTAAAAACAGTTTGTGAACTATGTTGGTCTGGATGATCCATATGACTTTCTGTGCATGCTAGCTAGTGGTTGATATATATATATATATATATATATATATATATATATATATATATATATATATGTGTGTGTGTGTGTGTGTGTGTGTGTGTGTGTGTGAATTGTATGTTTAGGGTTAGGTTGAGGCGGACCTGTTGTGTGCTGAAGGCCAAAAGGCCCATGGCGGTCCGGATAGACTGCAGACCCATAAGGGCGTATCAATCAGGACGAAGCCCTAGAGAACGGTCATGAAGGCTCGGGTGGACGGACCAGACATGTTGAAGGTTCTGAGAGTGGGCCAGTTAGACTGCAGGCCCGGTAGGGGCAATTTAGTCTTACGGTAGACTCTATATACATGTTGTTTCTTTTGATATGATATTGTTCTGGTTCGTATGGTGTTAGTATTTTGGGGGTAACTCACTAAGCCTTCGAGCTTACATTTAACGATTATTGTTTCAGGCACCTCAGATGACCGTAGGAAGGCCGCGGCGTGACCGTACACTTCCTCAATTTGTGATTTTTGATTTCTGGGAAAACTCTAATATGGATTTATTTTAAAAACAGTTTGTGAACTATGTTGGTCTGGTTGATTTTCTAAACAATTTTTATACTTGGGATGGTTTTTAAAAGTTTTAAATTTTTATGAATTTTCATGGATGTTTCAGTTCAGCTGATGGAAATACTTCTTTTACTACCTCAATTAAACCCTACATAAGTGACATTAATGTTTGTAATTAGAATTGCAATTACTAATTTTAGAACATGAAATATTTTTGTACCATACCTTGTGTTGATCTGAAATTAGAACCAAACCTTGTCCTTCATTCCAACATTGTAAATCTTTAGAAAGAGTTTCTATGAACCATTTCCAGTTCGCCTTGTTTTCCACACAAACAACCGCCCAAGCAATCGGGAATATGTCATTGTTAGCATCCCTACCAACAACACAAAGCAATTGCCCTTGGTAAAAACTTTTTAGAAAACAACCATCCAGGTTAATGATCCTCCTACAACCTCCCTTCCATCCCACTTTTACTGAAGCAAAACATATGTATATCTTGCTGAAGTAATTCTGAACATCAGGCATTGCATCATCACAAATTTTAACTGTGGATCTAGGATTTGATCTTCTAATCTCCTCACCATATGACCATCTTCTTGCATAACTTTCAGCTATTGTGCCTTCAACTAGAGTCAATGCATACTTCTTGGCTCTCCTACACTGAATCATACTCACATCAATCCAAAAAGTGGTTTTCACCTCCTCTTTAAGCAATTGGACACTCGTCTTTTGATTGTTATAAAATTGTTGCTTAAAGTGGGTCCCTATCCATCTGTAAGTCACAATTGATCCGAATTTGAAATTATTTGCACAATTATGGTCATCAATAAGAGACTTTATCTGGAAAGACTTATCGTTAGTTATCCAAGAACCCTAAACCCTAAATGTACATTTTCCATCACAACATTTGGCAAGTAATCGTCTACTATCATTCTTAACAAAACATAATTGATAACCATTCGCGACAGCATAGTTACAAAGCATCTGTTTCAATAGTTTAGGACTCTCAAACCTAATACCTAACACAGGTTCCTGCTCCTTTCAATTGAGTTTATCATTGAAAATATTTGGTAACTCGGGATAAACATCTTCATTGTCACCCATGGCTTCTTCGAAAGACTCACCTACACATGCATTCTCACCCATGTCTACCTGAATCCCATTATCCTTTATAAAAAACTGAGGGTTCTCATGGTCATCCGCATCGTCATCGGCATCCTCATCCCCGTCATCATCATCATCACCATTCTCTTCTTCATCATCACCGTCAGCCACATCCTGATTCCCTGTTGCAACTTCCTTAATCACTCATGCACCATTAATTGCCTCTTTCTCTATGTTACCAACAACCTCGTCTTTGTGTTCATCCAACCATTCTTTAATGTTACTATTCCCAAAATGGTCTACATACATATAGACTATAACACCATATTCATATGCAATTGCTATAAATTCGAAATAATTCGGGTCATTGCTAATTAAATTTAAACCTTTTGGAAAATTAATATCATGTTGGCAGTAATAGAGCTTCTCACACTTTTCCCCAGTGAACCTTTTGATGAACACAACGCACCCGTCCTTGTCCACGCCTGCGAAATCGATGTCCGAAAACCTCTGAGTAATTCCACCGGTGTAGCGTATGGGGTTTCTTGCGAACATTCCTTAGAAGTGGACATCTACTTGTAAGAATATAGGTTCCATTTTTTAGGATTCAGAAGCAGATAACAAGAAAGGGTTTATCGATGAAGTGTTGAACAATGGAGGTAAAAGGGCTCATTTATAAAGCATACACCGACAGTAAGAATAAAGCGACTAATTAATGATATGACATTACATGGAAATCACAGTTAGCATTCGATGTGGTGTTAGTAGAAGGAGGTGGACTAAAAATGACCAGGTGACCCCTTCACAATTGAAATAAGGACTTAATCAACCCGACAAAGTGTAATTTGTTCCCTTATAAAGCCACAAAATAACTTAAGTGGCTAAATGGGTGAACCCTAGAAACATAATAAGGCATATATATATATATATATATATATATATATATATATATATATATATATCTCACAACTAGCCTTTTTGGCTAGGAAATTCCACCCTCAAGTAAGCAAGGACTATTGTGAGATTTGTGCTAACACATCTAAGTGTTCAATATGAGTTCCTAATGAGCCAAGTAGGGTTAGAATGCAAATCTCTCCAAGTATGTGAAATCTCTCCCAGATCTCTCCAAGTATATCGAATCCCTCCTAAATCTCTCCAAGTATGTGAAATCTCTCCAAGTATGTGAAATCTCTCCTAAATCTCTCCAAGTATGTGAAATGTCTCCAAGTATATCGAATCTCTCCCAAATCTCTCCAAGTATGTGAAATCTCTCCCAAATCTCTCCAAGTATGTGAAATCTCTCCTAAATCTCTCCAAGTATGTGAAATCTCTACCAAATCTCTCCAAGTATGTGAAATCTCTCCAAGTATGTGAAATCTCTCCCAAATCTCTCCAAATATGAGAAATCTCTTCAAGTATGTGAAATCTCTCCCAAATCTTGGTCTGGAACCCTCTTGGTCCTGGCCCTCTTGGTCCGGAACCCTCTTGGTCCGGAAACCTCTTGGTTCGAAACCCCCTTGGTCCGGAACCCTCTTGGTCCTGAACCTCTTGGTCTGGAACCCTCTTGGTCCGGAACCGTCTTGGTCCTGAACCTCTTGGTTCGGAACCCTCTTGGTCTGGAATGCCTTCTAAGGAACCAAGAGGACTAGCAATCTTCGGAACCTCGCATCTCGGAAGCCTCCCATCCGGACAATTTTGCAGCTCCGGAAGCTTCTTACCTCGCCGGCTTCGGAAACCTTTGGCCGGACCGGACTTCGCCTCCTGACTTCGGAAATCCGAGAAGATGCTCCGGAATTTAGTAGATGGCTCCAGAATTTGCTTAATGGCTCCGGAATCCTTCCTAAGCCTTCGGACCCTGGCATGAGCATGATTCCACTCCGGATTTTGGTCATTTTCGGACCTTTTTATCATTTTAAGACATTTTGACGTCAGGAATCCCACCAAACTCGTATTTTTCTTAACTAAGACCCCTAAAACCTCTATTTTATGCCAAATTTAATTATCTAAATCATATTTACATAAAATAAAAGGTTAGGATTTAGGAATATCCTATCCTAAATCAAGATAAGGACAAGGAGGTTTGACCTTGTAATTTGATGTAATCTTCCATTTCCCCATGCAAATCATGGTATCCAATGCTTTACCTACCAAATATCAATGTTTTAACTAACAGATAACCAAGCACCTCTTCTCACTCCCTTATCGTCATTGGGAGTAAACCCATTCCTTATTTTCCATCAAAAACCTAGACACGTTCTGTGAACTCCTAAGATGCTCCCAAGAGCAAAGTAAGGATCTTGCTGGAAGCAAAATTTCTCAAATCTTCCCTGGAGTTTTTCTAAAGTAAGTTCTCCACTCATCTAAGATTTTATATACTTTTCAAGATGAATCCATATTATTTTATTCATAATAATATGTGATAATCAACCTTTGGATAACATTCTTCCTAGAGGAGTTCCTCATCTCAGCCAAAAGTTTAAGCTTGAGATCTCCACTCCATAACTCCAAACAACTCCTCAACCAACTAAAGGTGAGCTTCATACCCCACCTTTTTCAATGTTTTAATGTTTTTGGGGGAGAGTACAAGTCAAATCTTGCCTAAATACTTGAATAATTGCATGTATACGTATGTTTGTATGTGTGTGTGAAATATTATTAAATTATTATTTTAATAATGTTCTCATGAACGTAAGATTTCACAACTTCATAAAGAACAGATGATACTTTGTGTACAGAAGAACCTCCCAACTATTGGGTGTGTCCAACTTAACCCCTTTATCTATTCTTTCATGTCTAGAGATAAAAGTTATAAAAAGAGACCTTGATAAGTTTACACTATTTCTAGTAATTTTCAAAAATGGAAACTTTGTGACTATTTGCAAACTATCAGGGAGTATTTTATAAATATTCGATATAAAAGTTCGCGTCAAGAAAATATACAAATAGAGCCTTTATGACAGAAATAATTGCATGTCATAAACTGTTGTCGTAAAACCTCCAAGAACATAAGTAATGTTCTATATGTCATAAAACAGAAAATGCGTGTCATAACTGGCAGTTATAAATTTATACAAATTATAACTTGACACTTTTTCTCTTGACTAAAATGACTTATTTTTCAATAAACGAAAAGGAACAAACACGAGCACCCAGTTAACGAGCACAATTAACGATATAGAACGAGAACGATATTTCTATTCAATGAGTACGAATTTCATTATTTATCTAACAAATAATGGATCCCTAACGATTGCTCAAAAGGTTGTTAATATTCTAGTCAGACAAATCTCAAAAGTACCTAAATATAAAAATATTAGTGTACGTCTAAAGTCCTGTAAGGAGTTATAGCCAGAGTCTCCTGGAAGGAGAGCGGGAATTTATGTGTAGATCTATACGGGGTTGACACCCCGCACCTTCGTTGTTCGCTACAGCTAGACATGCCAGTCTAAGGTGACAAATGTCTTTTCCAAAACTAGGGCGCCTGAGAAACGCCAAAACGGACACTCCGTCAGATTAGTATGGTTATAACGAGTCACTAGAATATGTTATGTCATCTAGAAATTTATGTAAGGAAAAACCTCATAAATAAATTTTGGCACGTTGTGTTGACCGTTCTATACATGATAAGTGAGGGTCCGCATTTGTTGCGTTGACTGTCCTTTTTCATCGCGTAAAATGTCCACAATTGCCATGTTGATTTTTTCTCCTAACAAGTATAGAGTCGTAATGCTACTATTTTTACAAATTAAAAAGCGTAGGACTCTATGGAAAACATTTGTAAACGATTTTGAAAACGATAAACTAACCCACACATATACATAGTTGGAACTAGAACTTACGAATATTTTATAGCAGAAAATATAGGATTTTCTGGAGAAAACGATTTTCTACGATTTCGATAACGATAAACTAGAACGCACACTCAATTTTACTCGATAAGAGGAACAAGATTTTCAACCATATTCTCTTTTTGAAAATAATGGATTTTCTGGAAACGGTTGACTGTTACTATTCAAAAGAACTATTCTCGTACACAGCTCACTTTTACAAATCACACTACTTTTCAATATCACTCCTTATAAGGATGAATAAAAGTAATGACATGCACACATATATCCATGATTTTCAAGGCAAGACTTCAAACGATTTCATAGAAAATATCGGATTTTCTAAAAGTACAATAATAACGATTCTAAACAAGTGTAAATGATTTTATACACAAAAATGCTTATGAATTCACCAACTTTTTAGTTGACGCTTTTCAAAACGCCTTGTATTATCAGGGATCTAGTAAGCAGGTAACAAAGGAACGCGGATGCATGACTATTTAGCTGTAGCTTGGAATTTTCTACTTATATGTCTCTTTGGTGTAACTCGAAGAACAAATACAATATGTAAACAGTGTAAGTTTGTTATCTCAATGTATGATGTTTGGATTGCTATGTTTCATTTATATTCAATTGTTATGATACTGCACAATGAAGTCACCCGTCTCCGGATGTTTCCGCCGTCTGGTCCGGGGGTGTAACAATATATATATATATATATATATATATATATATATATATATATATATATATATATATATATGTGTGTGTGGTGTGTGTGTGTGTGTGTCTTTTTCCCTTAATTATATAACTTTTATATTTAATACACATCCAAATTTGACCGGAAAACATTATGAGCCCGGTAAAGCATAAGTCAAGTAATCATCACTCATTCATTTGTCCATTACTAGAGGAGAATTTTTTCACTTAAACTAGGGAAGGATCCAGCGTTGCGGGGTTTAGAAGGTATATTAATTGATTAAGTATTTAAGATGCAGGGTTAATTTAAAAAACACACTAAAATCAAATTTGTAATTTAAAAGCAATGGTTGTGAAATGAATAAGCGAATGTAGTCTTGCCTGCAACATAAAATGCCAACCAAAAAAGTTAAAAAAGGACACAAAATAGCAACTATGATAGGGAAACGAATAATTTAAACGAAAACGAATAATTTAAACAGAAACGATGAAACAGTTGATATAAAACCTGTAAAACCAAGTTCATATCTAAGTTTTCTACAGTTTCTAGGGTTTAGATCAAGTGTTTCTTCAACCTGGGACTCATTTGGATGTTGTACAAAAAATAATAGGGTAGTCTTGTTATAACAAATGAAATACTTGAAACTACAATGCCTTAGGCGTATCATGCTTGCCCTCATCCTCCTTATCCACATCTTAATTTTGTACCAGTCCACCTGCAATAGAAAAAATTGTCCCATTTTGACATATTCCACGTCAGATGAGAAGTAATTTGTTTCTTACCAACAACTATGCAAACTTTGTGGTTGACTGAAGCACCAGCAACAGTTCACTGGTTTACCCTTTGCATTAATAGTGGTAGGAATCATAAGAAAAAATAAAAAATTCCAATATTCATCAATGTAAATCTAACATCACACCTACAAATGATCCCCAAAAAAGTTTAAGTTAAGCGGTTGCTTTTTATCATCTCGAATTCCAATAAAGGCCTCAAATGTCACCTAATAAAAATCAACGAAATCTTGGTCA